GTGGAGGAAGAACCTTTCCCTAAAATCCATCCTAAACCTTCCCTGGCACAGTTTCATCCCATTCCCTGGGGACTCTGTGGAGGAAGAATCTTTCCCTAAAATCCATCCTAAACCTTCCCTGGCAGTTTCATCCCATTTCCTGAGAAGCCTGGGCACTGTGGAGGAAAACCTTTCCCTAAAATCCATCCTAAACCTTCCCTGGAACAGCTTCACCTCATTCCCTGGGGGCTCTGTGGAGGAAGAACCTTCCCCTAAAATCCATCCTAAACCTTCCCTGGCACAGTTTCACCTCATTCCCTGTGGACTCTCTGGAGGAAGAATCTTTCCCTAAAATCCATCCTAAACCTTCCCTGGAACAGCTTCACCCCATTCCCCATTCCCTGGGGAGCCTGGGTGTGCCCAGCACCCTCTGGGGGCTCTAAAATCCATCCTAAACCTCCCCTGGCACAGCTTCACCTCATTCCCTGGGGAGCCTGGGTGTGCCCAGCACCCTCTGGGGGCTCTAAAATCCATCCTAAATCTTCCCTGGCAGTTTCATCTCATTTCCTGAGAAGCCTGGGCAGTGTGGAGGAAGAACCTTTCCCTAAAATCCATCCTAAACATCCCCTGGAACAGCTTCATCCCATTTTCTGGGGACTCTCTGGAGGAAGAACCTTTCCCAACAATCCATCCTAAACCTTCCCTGGCAGTTTCATCCTATTTCCTGAGAAGCCTGGGCACTGTGGAGGAAAACCTTTCCCTAAAATCCATCCTAAACCTCCCCTGGCACAGCTCCAGCCATTCCCAGGATCCTGTCTCGGTCACAGAGATCAGAGCTGAAGATCCCTGAGTGTCCTGAAACACCCTCAGCCATTCCTCCAGACCTTTCTCCATCCTCTGCACACTTTCCAACATCCTTTTTTTACACAATTTCAAAAAAGTTTCCAGGTTGGAAAAGACCTCCCAGAGCACTGAGTGCAATCCCCCCACCTTGTGCCCAGCTCAGATGCCACATCCAGGATTTTTCCTTCACTCCAAAATTCCCTTCCCAGACAATTCCTCCTCATGTGTCCCATCCCACCCTCCTATCAGCGATTTAGGAAGAACCAAAAGATCCCCCCTGATCTCCCCACACTCACCCTCCATCCCCTTCCCTTCTTTGGCCATTTTCTCTTTCCGGAGCTGTTTTTTTTTTCTCCACATCCTGCAAGGCTCAAATCTGCTTTCCCCTCACCTGTTTGAGTTTCAGAGCAGCCTGCACTGACGGCCTGTTCTCCATCTGCTGGGCCAAACGTCTGTTTCGAGCGCTGGCCAGCTGCTGCTGCTGCATGGTGGCCCGGATATTCACCGGCATCGGCTGTTTGTTCTTCAGCATGTTAGTGAAGCTTCAAGGTCGAATAAAACGGGGTTTAATTAAAGCTTAAATAAAACAATTATCGCCATTTCACGGTGCTCGAGTGGGGCTCCAGCTCCCATCAATATTTTTATGCAAAGAGTGGAACTTGATGGGATTTTATGGATCCCTCGTTGGAGAGGCAGGAAATGAGGTTTTGGAAGTTTTCAGTGGGAATGAGAAAGGTTAAGAGATGGTAGAAGGGGGTGACAACCAGCAAAAAGCAGGGATGGTCGTGATAGAGAAGGGAGAAACAGGACAGAAAAAAGCAAAATGAAGCCCCAAAAAATCTGGGAAAAGTGGCAAAATTCCAGGCTAGGAGGGAGGTTGGGAAGACACCAGCATAAGGTTGGATGGGATCACATTAAAGATTTTTCCAACCGTGATTGTACAAAATTCCACCACCAAGAATCTCCTGAGTTCTGCCAAACTGTTCTCCTGAAATGAGGCCACTTGGGAATTGATGAGAAATTGAAATTTCTCCATTGAAGAGAGGTGGGAAATAAAGATTCTGAGCTCCAGCAGCTTCCTGGGAGCTGGTGAGCAAAATCCATCCCATAAAAATGAAAATGAATCCCTAAAAATGGAATTGAACCCCTAAAAATGAAATTCACCCCCTAAAAAGGAAATTAACCCCATCAAAAATGAAATTAACCCCATTAAAAATGAAATTTAATCCCTAAAAATGAAATCTACCTCGTAAAAACGAAATTCACCCCCTAAAAATGAAATTCACCCCATAAAAATGGAATTTAACCCCTAAAAATGAAAATTCGCCCCCTAACAATTAAATTTAACCCTAAAAAAGAAATTCATCCCCTAAAAATTAAATTTATCCTCTAAAAATGAAAGTCACCCCCTAAAAACAAAAATTCACCCCCCTAAAAATTAAATTTACCACCTAAAAATTAAATACACCCCATGAAAAGGAAATTCACTCCCCTAAAAATGAAATTCACCCCCTGAAAATGAAATTTAACCCCTAAAAACAAAATTCACCTCCTAAAAATGAAATTTACCCCCTAAAAATGAAATCCACCTCCTAGAAATGAAATTTACTGTCTAAAAATGAAATTTAACCCCCTAAAAATGAAATTTACTGTCTAAAAACAAAACTCATCCCCTAAAAATGAAATTTACTGCCTAAAAACAAAATTTAACCCCCTAAAAATGAAATTTACTATCTAAAAACAAAACTCATCCCCTAAAAATGAAATTTACCCCTTATAAATGAAATCCACCTCCTAGAAATGAAATTTACTGTCTAAAAAAAAATTTAACCCCCTAAAAATGAAATTTACTGTCTAAAAACAGAATTTAACCCCCTAACAATGAAATCCCGCCCCTAAAAACAGAACTCATCCCCTAAAAATGAAATCCAGCTGCTAAAAACAAAACTCATCCCCTAAAAATAAAATTCACCTCCTAGAAATGAAATTTACTGTCTAAAACCAAAATTTAACCCCCTAAAAACAAAACTCATCCCCTATAAATGAAATCCACCTCCTAAAAATGAAATTTTCTGTCTAAAAACAAAATTTAACCCCCTAAAAATGAAATCCA